ATCCAAAACAGCCTCCAGGATACTCAGTGTGCATTGGTGATTAGCAGAAAGTTAGAAATTCAGAAAATTTGCATTTTTCATGATGAAAAAAGGTTCTGGACAGCATCTGGAAATGGAAGAGTTCCAAAAAATTTCCAAATGCAAACACTTATAAACGCGGTTAGCAGCGTTTGCACACGTTTACATGCGCTTACAAGCATCTGGCGTTTGAAATGCTGATAAAATCTACTTCTGAACGCAAGTTTGGTGTGTTCAAAAAAACAACTGTAAACTCAACTGCCTGTAAACGACTGTTAATGACATGGACACATAGGAAAACATTAGGGAGAGTTCAAGGGCTGCTGAAAAAAATGCAGAAAAGCTCCTAAACGTGAGTTTTTTTAGCTGTAGTGTACATGGAGCCTTATAAGTAGCCTTTGCAGAAGGGTAACACATGTCACCAACAAACAAAAGATTTCCCAGCACACTTACCAGCCAGCCTGCAAAACAACTGAACTGACCCTAACAAACATTCACAAAGGGTTTTGTTTGCACACATTTGCAAACATATGCGTAAGCTGCAGTGCCCATGTCAAGGTTCCTCTGTCTACATCAGTCCTAACTCTATAAATTTCAGTCTCCTTAGTAGGAGCACATAAATGGTAATGGATAGACTAAGGGCAGGTGTGCCCGGAGGGAGCCCACCCCTCTTTAAAAAAACAGTGGACGCACGTGGTGCCCAGCAATAGTACAATGGCAGCTGAAGGCATCCAGTGCATTCCTATGCCCAAAAAAAAAAGTGGCAACCTATGACTAGCCTTTTCAGTAAGGTGCGCATGGAAGGGCAACGCACATGACAAACAAAAGATTTCCCAGCACAATTTTCTTAAAGCAACTTCTTGACTATATTAATTTTTACACTGCGATAGTTATGTTAAATGTATATATACACATCTCTTTTCAAGTTTGTCTGTTTTCTTTTCAGTGTAATCATTTTGTAAAACAGTTAAAAAATCAACATTACTAGGACAAGAAGTGAAGAAATGGGCACACCAACAATACGTTTGTTCCTTTCAGTGAAATGTACAGTACAGAAGGTTTGGGAGATATAATTACTAAATTTGTGTTCATAACACAATAAAATGAGCCTGGAGGACGTATGCTTGAGGCTCCATGTACACGGGGCCTTTTGATAAGCTGGTGACCTTAGCTGTGTAAAGTCATGCTAAAAACGTTTCTCAGCTTTTTTTAGCGTTTTTGCATTAGCATTTAGCGACGTTGTGCCGTGTTTAGTGGCGTTTTCCCGCGGTTTTTAGCTTTTTTTTAGTAAACAAAGTCCATAAACGCCGGTTTGCGGTGGTTTACCGCATTTACCGCATTTTGCCGTGTTTTTCAGCATTAGAGCATTTTTACAACTAAAAAAATCATCTAGAAACCCACTAGTCCTGGGTTTTTTTCCAGCCAAAAAAACATCCCTGCCAAAAAATGTTGATTACAGTCTACGTGTGCATGGACACATATTATAACATGCTGGGGGTTTACTAGCTGTAGAAAAAAATGTCAAAAGCCAAAAACAGCAGTTGTAAATACGTCCAGTGTGCATGAGGACTGAAAATGGCCCTATCTTTTGTGCTGGACTTACATGGCTCGAATTTCAGCTGATTCTGCAGGAATTGCCCAAAATTCTAGCCATGGGTGTAGTTAGTGTCACAGTCTGGAATCAGTCTCAGAGGCAAGTAGCTATAGCAATAGAGAGGCTCCCACCGACCAGAAGGATAGGTATACAAACAGGTCATCCTGGCAGATGATGCTGGCTCACCTGAGGGGCGGGGTCTAAGAACTAACTGGTATTCCAGAGCTCCTCAAGGTGGAGATGGGTTTTATTGTATGTTAGTACCAGGTTACAGTCCTCAGGATCATCCCACCAAGAAGTGAGCAAGTCAAGGTCCAGCAGCAGAGATAGCAGGTAGCGAACAATCAGAAGTGTAGTCAGTAAACAGGCCAAAGTCGGTAACAAGTGGTTGCAGCTTGGGATCAAGCCAAAGGTCGGTAATGAGTAGTAACGAAGATACAAATAGCAGCAGGAGTGACAAGAGTGAGTTATTGGCTAGAAAGAGCACAATAATCTGGCAAACATGAAGTGCAGAGGCATGGCTTATATCAGGAAGTTCATGGGAAAAGCAAAGAGTTGAAAACAAGGTACAAAACAAAATTGTCTAATGAATCAGAAAGAAGCTGTCCAGTATCTCAGGTAGTTCAGCAAGAAGAGTTACTGCCAGACACTGCAGAGGTCCCAGGTTCAGATCCAGGCCATGACACAGAATTTGGCCAACAAGCTTCCATGTGGCTCATTTGAATTTTCAAATTGACTCTAGTGGAGCCAAGTGAAAATTGTCAGCCAAATTGTGACTGCATCCTATCAGACGTGGGCTGCATGAGAAAAAATGTATGGCTAGCCTTACTTAAAACCTGCCTTCATAAATAACTTAGCCTAATGTGTAGTGTGAACACATTACATACCACAAACATCCACAGAGGTACTGTAACTAATCTAGAATATTTTGAAAAAGGAAATTGCATAACATGGAGCTCAAAAGTTTGTATATGTTGAGCTAGATATGATTGTGTTCAGTAATGTTCACCAATTCGCCCGTGGAGCGTGTCCACAAAATATTGCTGACAGTTGTAAAGGTCATGGTGTCCTACTACTACAAAAACTAGCCATATACAAGAGATTCTGATAAATGGTGGTGTGCCAAGTTCAGACCGCTCAGAAAAGTCTGTTTTTAGTGAAAGATTTGTATACATGATTCACCATATGTTGGGAAAACTGCCCGTAGCTGTTCTGAACTGTAGCAGCAGCTTACCAAATTGGTCAGCAATGTACAGATTATTCACATTTTTACACAGTGCCATTGTTCCTAGGTTTTCTATTTATTCATGTGTTACGCTAAATTTTAGCCCCTCTGGGCACTTGTACTTTTTTACTGAATTTTTTAAAAAATGTTTTACTTACAGTGAGGTAAGAGTCATGAGGATTAGGATCCTTATTTTCAAGTGATAATTATTTTTAGCTGAATCCCATGAGATTTGAAAATTACAGTCACATGGCTGACAATAAAGATTCTTATCCTTGTGTAACTCTTCGTAAATTCAGAATATAGTATGGAATTTTTTTTATTACTACTGGAATCTCGTAACAGGAACCTTAAAGTAAACGTGCATGCTTAATCAAAACATATGCTCCCTCCAAGCCTTTTTTATCTTTTTTTTTTAATAAAAAAAAAACTACTTCTGACACAGAAGCTGCTGTATGCTGCCCAGCAGGTCATCAATTAAACTTCAGCAGTGAAACAAAATATTATGTCTCTTCCACATTCTATTCAGGCTGTCGGGAAACTCCGGTGCTCGATTCAAGGCCCATATACAAGCAATCCAAAGATAATTCTGCACAGCACCATTTCCTTTCAAACGCATATTAGTAATTATACAAGCAACATAAAAACACAACAGTATTGTGTTACAGCCGAAAAGGTCTGAGACAGTATTTTCAGCTTGGCTCTTGCATCCTCCAGATCCATAGGCAGTAATTGACTTAAAAAAGTTTTTGTGATAAAGTACCACTGAAACAAAATCGGCCAAACATATCAATTGGTAATTGGTAGCAGAACTCACTATATCACCACATATGATACACTAGAGAAATATTTTACTAATTGTGTTGTTCTACCATATATACATTAAAGTGCGAGTGCTTAACCACAAGTAAATCATACAAATATATAATATATATAATACAGAATACATTTATTCAAAGTACACAAATCATTTAATAAATAGTGTAGTATATAGAAAAAGTCCCAAAACCACATGTAAGTCCAATAAAGTTCATATGTACTGTAAATAAAGTGCTGAAAACAATATTTCAAAAGGCAAAGTATATCCGTGTGCCAAGGAAACAACACAAGTGATCCTATGCATCAGCTAACTCTTCACCACTGTGATCACCAACACACAAAGGCCGCTTACCGGACCCTCAGACCTCAGAAGTATAGAAGGTTGTTTTAGGGTGAAATCCCAAATTGGATGATCACTTCCTAACACACCAAGCGCTCCCTGAAGGAATGGATGGATGAACAGCAATGCTCCGACCTAATGAATGGATGGATGGTGAGTATGCTCCTGCCAGGGGCGGACTGACAACTCATGGGGCCCCCGGGCAATAGCAAATCATGGGGCCCCTGTGTCCTCGCCAATACTCAAACCACACCCAAAAAAGCCTGTGAAAGGTATCAAAAGGCATCTCATGGGGCCCCCTACTGACCCCGGGCCCTTGGGCAGTGCCCGAATGCTCGAATGGTCAGTCCGCCTGGGTCCCGCTATCTCTGCCACTGCACACCTCTTACACTGCCATCCACATCGATCCGCCACAGGTCAAGCCAGCTTATAATAGCATTTCTGATTTTGGATTCAGGATCATCCAAAGTATAAAAAAAAAATAAGTTATAAGGAAAGCTCTATCTATCCATATTTTCCATGCCACTTGTTACCTGTAAGGACGGGTCACTGAGGAATACTTAAAAGATGTGCCAGTGATGGATTCACCTCGGTGGTGGGCTTAGGTTAAATTGTTGAGGCAGTCAAGCCATTAGTGACAAAGTGAAACCAGGATCAGAGAGGCACACAGAAGTAGCTTTTCTCACTAGAAAAGTGTGCTTCACTCTCTTTAGTGCAGTACAGAGTTCTGTGGCCTAACATGAATCTACAGCATATTCCATAAACTTTAGTGTTGGTGTACTGGCACATGGTAAGCGGCCCTGGTGTAACTGACTTCTGCTTCTTCCATCAGCAAGGAGGCTGATGAGAATCAATTCCTGGCTATGGGGCTACAGGACTCATGCACCAAGTTGAAGAGGTTGTTTTAGCACCCGCCTTTTTATAGAAACCAGATTGCTGAACTGCCAAAAGGGAAAACATTTATTTTTTTATGTCCAATCATGCACATATCAATGAAGCAGGGGCGGACTGACAACTCATGGGGCCCCCGGGCAATAGGGGATCATGGGGCCCCTGTGTCCTTGCCCAAACTCAAAAAAGCCTATGAAAAAGGTACCAGGGGCATCTCATGGGGCCCCCTACTGACCCCGGGCCCTCGGGCAGTGCCCGAGTTTCCAAATGGTCAGTCCGCCCCTGCAATGAAGACATAATACTTGATGTGTCTATAAGTACAAAGATCAGCATTGTCCAGACTATGATGTTGTCTGTCACTCTGTGAATGTGAAAGCTGGAAAATGAAGAAACTAAACAGGAAAACTATTGATTTCTTTAAACTTTGGTGTTGGTGAACAATTCAAAGACTACTGTAGACAGTGTAAATCAATGAATAACATTTCACTAGAATCCCATATGACTAGGAGGCTAAAGCTTTCTTACTTTGAGCACATTATAAATATCAACTCACATAAAAAGAGCAGTTATGCTTGGAAAAGTTAAAGGGAAAAGAAGAAGAGGATGACCAGCAACAAAATGTCTGGATATATTCACAGCAATTATGAACATGCCATTGTGCAGGCCTAAAGGAGAAGTATGGCCAAAACTCTTTTGGCCATACTTGTTATGTAGGTCACAGGATTGCACTTAGTTCTGCACTCCTGTGACTCCTGTGACCCACTAAAGCCCACTGTTGGCTTATGTCACAGAGCCACTCCAGGATCTGCAGAGATCCCAACAATAATGTTGGGATCTACCCAGATGCCTGAGCAGCAGCTAGCTCAGCCTCTTTGTGTGGCTCTGAGAGCCTGGGTCAGGCACTCCCATCCCCTGCACAACCTGGAGATCCAGTGAGAGCTGGAGGGGAAGAACAGAGAGACAGCCACAGATCTCTGCTCACTGAAGACCAAAAACAGCGATCAGCGATCATGTGATCATGCATTTCTTGGTCTTAGAGCCAGTGGGGAACAGCTGCAGCATCAGACTGGCTTATAGGTGAGTATGTGTCTTTGTTATTTTGTAAATCCATACTTTTTAAGACCAAAATGGTCGATAATATCATAAGCAAGCATGATATAATTAGAGTTTTAAATATGTAAATAAACTAATAAAGTGATAGATCAACCTATTCCTTATATCAGATTCACTTCTTGATCCTCTAAAGGGACCGTTTTTTCTGTTGCATTAAAAAAAAAGCATGCGTTTTCCTTTTGCTTCACGTGTTCTTGCATTAGAGACATTGAAAACGGTTGGTTAATGTGAGGTAGTGCCTGGTGCCCCGACTGGGTGCCTTCGCCAACCAGTGCCTCCTGCCCTCCAAACCCGTCCAGCAGACCGATAACTAGACACATACTTTATACCTCCAGGAGGATATTCCCCTCTTATTATTAGATCAGATAAGATGTACAACCAGTAAAGACATGACAATGCAACCTTTAAAAACAAGCTAATTATCAGCTAGGCACCTGGACTAGTCTTATCGGTGTGGCTAGTAGTCACAAGAATTCCCCACCCTGCCCCCCTTGTCTATGTGCTGATGTCCCACCCCAGATCTTGCTCAGATTTAGGTTACCAAGTGGCACATCTTTAGCTTAATAATATAAAAAGGTAATAATATAAAGTTTGCCCTAGTAGCCAGAGCAAAATGGGCAAATGCTGTATTATGCAGCTCTTGAGGACCAGCCGGGGCAAGATAAGAAGTATGCCCTAGAAGAGTTCCATATCCCCAGCTGGTGATGGTGCATCTGCACAATCTGTCCGACACAATGTTTCTGGGACTATGGCTAATTACTCGCAGCAGTTAAAAAGCAATTTCTGGACCAGCTTCCTCATGCTCTGACCCAGCTGCCGCTCTCTCCATTGCCATAAACAGTGGGTAGAAGGCTAGCCCATAGTCCCCTCCCCAAAAGCCTCTGTCCAGGTTGGGATGTCACAGTTTATGTTTTTTGAAAACAAAGAGTTGCAGGATGTTTTATTAACAACCTGTAGAACAGCACGTGTAGAAGATATATCACTGAATACAACCGTAATAAACTTTTATGTTTTTTGTACCATTTGAATTTTTTCAAAAATGCAGACAAACCTTCCCGCAGGTGCACCACTGTTCTGGGGACTTCCTGGCTGTATAATCTTGGTAAATACTCGCAGCCAGTAAAAAGAATTCAGGACCCAGCTCTCCTCCATGTCCATCTGACCCAGAGAAGCAGACAAAATCCCCGCTCTCCTCCATTGCCATAATCAGTGGGTAGAAGGCTAGCCCATAGTCCCCTCCAAAAGCCTCTGTCCAGGTTGGGACTGTCACAGTTATGTTTTTTGAAAACTGAATGGAAAGAGTTGCAGGATGTTTTATTAACAACCTGTAGAACAGCACGTGTAGAAGATATATCACTGAATACAACAGTATAAACTTTTATGTTTTTGCAGTACCATTTGAATTTTTTCAAAAATGCAGACAAACCTGAACAGTGAAAGTGAGCTCTCATTCTAGTGTACGAGCTGCATATTCTCGTCTCATACAAAAATATTTTCCAATGAATTAAAACCCAGTATATCCCAGCTTCTCCTGCTTGATCTCTCCTCTACATTTCACACTGATGCAAACTATGCATTCTCCTGGAATTCTGTATATTATTCTATTATGGTCGACACCCAGAGCTACCTGCCCACTCCTGAATGATCTACCCATGTCCTAATAGTTATTTAAAGTGGTTGTCATCTGTTTCTTTAGTGATGTTTGAGAAATATTTAAAGCATAACCTGGCCAAAACTGAATTAATAGTTGTGTCCTTTTCATGTTCCACACCATTCCCACAGACCTATTAAATGTTATTGTGTTTGAACCTACCCCACAAGTTCACCTTCTTAATGACACCTTTTACTCAGAATCCTCACTCTTCATATCCAGATATCTGACCTCTATAACCTTAGCCCACAACTCATAATTTTTCTCTTTGACTACTACCATGTCCTCCTGTCTGACTGCATTATCCTACAAATCTGAGAAAACCTCCCAAATATCCTATGGATAACAGCACTACCTATACAATATGCACTATATTGCCAAAAGTATTGGTCGGCCTGCCTTTACATACATGCAGATGCAACTTTAGCACCTACCTGGAATTCTGTTTTATTTTTCTATTATGGTCCTACACCCAAGTTCACTTCTTAGAACTTTAATGATATCCCAATCTTAGTCCGTAGGGTTTCAATACTGAGTTGGCCCACCCTTTGCAGCTATAACAGCTGCATCTCTTCTGGGAAGACCGTCCACAAGGTTTAGGAGTGTGTCTATGGGAATGTTAGACCATTCTTCCAGAAGCGCATTTGTGAGGTCAGGCACTAATGTCAGACGAGGCCTGGCTCTCAGTCTCCACTCTAACTCATCCCAAAGTTGTTCTATAGGGTTGAGGTCAGGACTCTGTGTAGGCCATTCAAGTTCCTCCACCCCAAATTCGCTCATCCACGTCTTTATGGTCTTTGCTTTGTGCATTGGTGTGCAGTCATTTTGGAACAGGAAGGGGCCATCCCCAAACTGTTCCCACAAAGTTGGGAGCATGAAATTGTCCAAAATGTCTTGGTATGCTGACACCTTAAGAGTTCCCTTCACTGGAACTAAGGGGCCAAGCCCAACCCCTGAAAAACAACCCCACACCATAATCCCTTCTCCACCAAACGTACACTTGGCACAATGCAGTCAGGCAAGTACCATTCTCCTGGCAACTGCCAAACTCAGACACGTCCATCGGAGAAGCGTGATTCCTCACTCCAGAAAACACGTCTCCACTGCTGTAGAGTCCAGTGGTGCGTTCTTTACACCACTGCATCTGATACTTTGCATTGCACTTGATGATGTAAGGCTTGGATGCAGCTGCTCGGCCATGGAAACCCATTCTATGCACTGTTGTTGTGCTAATCTGAAGGCCACACGAAGTTTGGAGGTCTTTAGCTATTGACTCTTCCGACAGTTGGCAACTTCTGCTTGCTTCAGCATGAGCTGACCCCAATCTCTCATTTTACGTAGCCTACCACTTTTTGGCTGAGTTGCTTTTGTTCCCAGTTTCTTCCACTTTGTTATGATACCACAACAGTTGACTGTGGAATACTTAGTAGCAAGAAAATGTCACGGATGGACTTATTGCACAGGTGGCAACCTGTCTCGGTACCATACTTGAATTTGCTGAGCTCCTGAGAGCAACCCATTGTCACGGTCCACTCCGCATGCACATGTCCATAGTGACTAGCTAACCGAGGTGCGCATGTGCGGCCGTGACTTGGGGTAAGAAGGAATAAGGCGGACTTAATCTGAATATATATATATATGTATACAGGGACGGACTGACCATTTGGAAACTCGGGCACTGCCCGAGGGCCCGGGGTCAGTAGGGGGCCCCATGAGAAACCCTGGTACCTTTTTCATAGGCTTTTTTGATTTTGGGAAAGGACACAGGGGCCCCATGATCCCCTATTGCCTGGGGGCCCCATGAGTTGTCAGTCCGCCCCTGTAAGTATATAAGACCGGTCGTGATATACTTTCACAGCCCACGCTACCTCTGGCCACCACTAGAGGGAGACTCCACTCCAATCCAGATAGCTGACCACACACACAGGTAGACACAAATCTTACATACAATCTGGTGCACTAATTAGGGTTGAGGAGCAGCCTAGCAATTGACACACCCTTCTAGGATTCCTCCAGCTATCCTACAAGCCAGAACCCCGGGGGTTTTTCACTCTTCCACTGTCCACACACCCGCACACCAGACACACCACAAACGGTAGCTTGCCACCACCCAACAGTTTATCCGCAGAACGGTCTGCTGGGACACCACACACACAAAGATCTCCGTCTGGCCGATCTGTCACCCTTACAATCTGCACGCAATCTGCCAACATGCAGTACAATTGCATACAGATTGGCAATGAACTTTACCGAGCATATAAAGGCACTAAAATACAATACAATCTAATCTCTCCGGAGATATGAGCCTGTGCTTACTGGCTCAATAGTTGCTGCAGCTGTTCTCATGGAGGATAATCCTAAAACATGACCTTTTACGGTAATTTAGGAAGCATAAGGCTTCTTTCACACTTGTGTTCCGTATGTCCATTTTTCATCTGTCCACTTACAGATGAAAAACGGACACCCATGTATTTCAATGGACTAACAGATGTAAACGGGTGATCATCTGTTTACATCTGTTAATGTACGCATCTGTTAACATAATTTTTCTTGAATAGAAGAAAACCTTATTTTTCTTCCGTTAGAAAAAATGGAACGGATGAAAAACGGATGTAAACAGACAAAAATGGATGTAAACAGACAAAAAAAAAGGATGTAAACAGACAAAAACAGACAAAAAACAGATGAAAACGGATGTAAACTGACAAAAAAAAATGGATGTAAACGGATGAAAAAATGGATGTAAACTGATGAAAAACGGATGTGAACTGATAAAAAAAACTTATGTTAACTGATCCGTTTTTTTCTTGGAAAAAATGTGACTGAACTGATGAAAAGACCGGAAAACACCCATGACAAAGGGACTTCAGTAAGAAACATAACCGCTTCCCCCCACCCTATAGCAGATATACTGCTACAGGGCGGCAGGGGTGTGCAAAATCATGCATTTATATGTGATTTTGCATCTCCAGGCAGGGGGCGCACGCGAGCCGGGGGTGCACCCTATCTGCGCCTCCTGCGGCTGTCAGTCACTGGGTCCCGGCCGGCGATTCCCCGCTGGCGCATGGTGATTACCGAGCATCTCCGACGGGAAGGAGGACTGCTTTGTTTACTAACAGTCCTCTTCCCTGTCGGCTTGGGCACACTGCTCTGGAGGACTGTGCTGTGCACAGCCCTCCAGAGCAGTGTGCTTACAGTGAAGCACCAACACACTGCCCCCCAGTAAAACACTTCCTGCATATAGTTAGCCCTTTGATCACCCCTCATGTTAACCCCTTCCTGCCCAGTGCCATTATTACAGTGTCAGTGTTTTTTTTTAGCACTGATCACTGTATTGGTGTCACTGGGGATGTCAGTGACACCAAGTCGGTTCCCCCCAGAGTCAGAATGAGGCCCCGCAGTCCCGCTATAAGTCGCTGATCACCGTCATTATTAGTAAAAAAAATTCCAGTATCTATACCGCCATTTGTAAATGCTATAACTTTCACGTAAACCAATTTATTTACACATATCGGGATATTTTTTAACAAAGACATGTGGCAGAATACGTTTTGGCTTAAATTTATGCCAAAATTTGATTTTTAAAATTTTTTTACTGGACATGGTTAATACCAAAAAGTAAAAAATATTTTTTTTTTTTTTTTAATTTTTGTTATAGCACAAAAAATAAAAAACACAGAGGTGATCAAATACTTCTGCTCAATTTGTGGGAAAAAAGGACATAAATTTCATTTGGGTGCAGTGTTGCATGACCACGCAATTGTCAGTTAAAGTAACGCAGCACTGTAACATGAAAAATTGCCTGGTCAGGAAGGGGGGTAAATCCTCAGGAGGGCAAGTGGTGTTAAATGTAGCACTGAAAGTGGAACATTAGGGCCAGTTCACACTATGCCCTGATCTGAATTGCACAGGAACACGCTGTGCATTCCTATGCGATTCATATGGAGGTCTATGCAGTGTGATTTAAAGCTTATTCATTTGAATGGGCTGAAATTGCACTGCACCGTGCTAAAAGTAGTGCATGCACTTTTTTTTAAATGCACAGAAATCACATTGCATGGTACTTTGTACCATGCAGTTTGGTGCAGGCTGGTGCGGGCAAATGCAATGTGTTTGCGACCTGCGTTCAGGGTGTCATTAACTTTAACTGAGCACCGCAGCAGGGTATTGCAATCGAAATGCAGTGTGGGAAGCCGCATGGGAATGCAGCTCTCTCACACTGCATTCTAGTCCTTAGTCAGAAAATTAGGTCCTACTGGATCATTTCAGGCTGACCCCTCTTGCAGGTATATTTATGTAAAACATTCAAAATAAGTGTCTATACTGTTTAATATCCAATAATACACTGTCCCACCCTGCTCTGCACATGCTCCTTTGCTCTCTATTTTTCGGCATTTTAAGGCACTGCCAAATTTGTAGAGGCCAATCTGCTGACAGTCTTAAAGCAGAATTAAACCCTCCTATCCTTTGCAGCCAAGGAAGTTGCTTCTGTTTGATCTGCAACTGCCATGGTGCTGCACATGTGATCAGTTATGACACCAGACATTTGATTGTTTGGCAGTTTGGTTGAGGACACAAGCAAATGTGACAGTTAGCAGTCCTGGTATTCCATGGAACTTTAAAACATCCCCACAACTGATACTGATATTTGTCTGTCAGTAAAAAAATGTACATTGTTATTTTTTAATTCCTTTTATTTTTTTAATTACTTGTTATTTTTGGTATTAAAGTTTATCTAGCTGTTTTATTGGTAGATTGTTACAGGATTTCTTTTACCTAGGACTCTCTTGCAAGATACACTGCTCAAAAAAATTAAAGGAACACTTTTTAATCAGAGTATAGCATCAAGTCAATTATACTCCTGGGATATTGATCTGGTCAGTTAAGTAGCAGAGGGGGTTGCTAATCAGTTTTAGCTGCTTTGGTGTTAATGAAATTAACAGGTGCACTAGATGGGCAACAATGAGATGATCCCCAAAACAGGAATGGTTTTACCGGTGGAGGCCACTGACATTTTTTTCCCTACTCATCTTTTCTGACTGTTTTTCACTAGTTTTGCTTTTGGCTAGGGTCAGTGACACTACTGGTAGCATGTGGGGATACCTGGACCCTACAGAGGTTGCACAGGCAATCCAACTCCTCCAGGATGGCACATCAATACGTGCCATTCCCAGAAGGTTTGCTGTGAGCATGGAAGAGATTCTAGGAGACAGGCAGTTACTCTAGGAGAGCTGGACAGGGCCATAGAAGGTCCTTAACCCATCAGCAGGACCGGTATCTGCTCCTTTGTGCAAGGAGGAACAGGATGAGCACTGCCAGAGCCCTACAAAATTACCTCCAGCAGGCCACTGGTGTGAATGTCTCTGACCAAATAATCAGAAACAGACTTCATGAGGGTTGACTGAGGGCCCGACATCCTCTAGTGGTCCCTGTGCTCTATGCCTGGCACCACAGATCTCGATTGGCATTTGCCATTGAAAACCAGAATTGGCAGGTCCGCCACTGGAATCCTGTGCTTTTCACAGATGAGGGTAGGTTCACCCTGAGCACATGTTACAGGCGTGAAAGGCCTGGAGAAGCCATGGAGAACGTTATTCTACCTATAACATTGTTCAGCATGAGCATTTTGGTGATGGGTCAGTGATGGTCTGGGGAGGCATATCCATGGAGGGATGCACAGGCCTCTACAGGCTAGACAATGGCACCCTGACTTCCATTAGGTATCGGAATGAAATCCTTTGACCGATTGTGAGACCCTACGCTGGTGCAGTGGGTCCTGGGTTCCTCCTGGTGCACAACAATGCCTGGCCTCATGTGGCAAGAGTATGCAGACAGTACCTGGAGGATGAAGGAATTGATACCATTGAATGGCCCCAACGCTTGTCTGACCTAAATCCAATAGAACACCTCTGGGATATCAGGTTTCAGTCCATCCGACGATGCCAGGTTGCACCTCAGACTGTCCAGGAGCTCAATGATGCCCTGGTCCAGATCTGGGAGGAAATACCCCAGGACACCATATGTCGTCTCATTAGGAGCATACCCCAATGTTGTCAGGCTTGCTTACAAGCACGTGGGGGGCCATACAAACTACTGAGTACCATTTTGAGTTGCTGCAATGAAATTTCAGCAATATGGACTAGCCTGCTACATCATTTTTTCACTTTGATTTTTGCTGCGTCTTTGAATTCAGTTCTCTGTAGGTTGATAATCAAATGATGGGGCATCCTTACGTTCCTAACATATTACCCAGTCCATATCAGTATAGATATCCAGCAAGATATTTTTCGCCATTGAGATCTGATGTGTTTTCAAAGTGTTCCTTTAATTTGTTTTAGCAGTATATATAAAACGGTAGGATTTCATCTAAGCTCATGAGAAAATGCATTACACACTGTTTCTAATATACCAGCTAATGTATGCGGTCTTTAAGAGCATAAAAAAAAGAAGATTACTTAAAAGAGTGAGGAACAATGGGATAATTAAATTGTCTGAGGATTTACATTATCGCAGAATCATGACGAGGTGTTAATTATGGGGGTTTGTTATTATAGTTTAGTGGGTATTCACACAGGCATATTAATTCCAACGAGATGACATTGTGTGATTTTCAAGAACTACCATAGAAAAGTATTATTCCAAGAATACCAGAGTTTTGTGAAATCTGCTTATATGAAAAATATGTAGAAGAATGTTGAACACTTAATCCTCCGTTTAATTTATCTTGATGCATCGCAGACCTCTGTAGTCTGTGTTTGTAGGAGCCCGAACTGACTTCATTTTAGATTTTACAAGAGCCCC